CTTTTTCATATTTTTGAATTAGTATAGGTAACAATCTTCCAGTTCTGAAGAACTGTCTTCATCGACTGACCCCTCTACATAAATTATTAATCTTTTGGAAAATTCTATTCCAATGTTATTACCCTGACTTTGATGACCTTTCATACACCCCTAAAAATTTTTTTTATCCGATTTTTCAATATGCAATAGAAAATGTTTCTTCTGGTGATTGTTGGAGAAAATGTTTGTTTTCTTTTTTAGGAAAATGATTCTTGGCTAGGCACTTGGTGAAACATGTTTAATAAGATATAAGAAATAAAACACTTGGTAAAGAGAATCTCTTTGATAATGGTTTAGCAGCCGAAACAATTGAGAACAACAAAGAGTGTTCTAAATAAACTGTGAAACAAAAGTGTACCAAGTGTTTTATTTTGTTTGTACTAGGAAGCAACACATTTTCAAAACAGTAAAGTTTCAGGCATTCTACGAATTTTACTACATTTATAGAAAATTTATGTAACACGTGAGCTACCTATGTAAGAATGTAACTATGTGTATAAGTACTTACTAAGAAGTTTATCACCAGAAAACAGATTCGAAAATAATACATGGCCACCCCCAACGGTCACTTTCATTACCATCGATGTATATTTAAGAAACCTCTCGCCATTGCTTTCAAAAGTTTCTCCCTCTAATTTGACCTTTGTCACAACATGCGCTTAAAGAAAATTTAGTGATTACGTATAGATACACCAGTTTATAAACCTATAACAATTAATCAAAACGCTGCCTTTGAAGCGTCCCGTTCTTTACAAGTTTAATTAGCGTACAGGATTTCTCATATCCACTGCAATCAACCAATTATTAACATGGGAAATTAAATTAAAATAATTCACTATCAGTAATGATAAACGTAAATTCTTATTTATAAGTTACTTAATTACAGAAAATATTTAATGGTTTTCTTTGACACGTTTAAAAACACTGAGGGTATCCCCAGGAATACAATAGTACTATATCAGACAAAATCAGGAATATAAGGAGCTATTCCAGTAATAATTTTACTGTTATATTCCCTGATTTTTGAAATTAAAATAAGACTTTTTAAGTAATAGATCACATGACATTTTCGCATAGTTCATTTGACGCCTTATAATTTTTTTTCGATTATTAGGGCTATTTTTTTCTCAAACTCCGGCTAGCAATGACAGAGATACAAAGAAATAACAAAATGATATGATTGCTAAAAGATGAGTAGTATCGATAAGGAAAATTGCCATAATAATGAAACTATCTTTCCGATGCTCATAAAATTTGCTGCTGTTGAGATCAAGTATGTCTCGACAGCTTCCTTGGTCGATAGTCGAAAAAAAAGAAAATCACTTTAAGGTTTAGTCGTACTTTTTAAGTATGGCCCTAGGCCTTCTCAAACAATTCAAGTAGGACATTTTCGACCGCCCACTGTATAGTCCAGACCTCACACCCACTGATTTTCACCTCTTTCGACTATTTGAATGCATGATTAGGTCTTTTCGATGTGATTAAAGGACAAGCATACAAATAAAGCTTATAAGGGGTTTTGTTTTCGCGACGTACTAACCCCTAAGAATTAAAACAATTCACAACTTTCTAAAGTGGCATACCCTAGACAAAAATTTTCAGTCTCTCAGAGTCTTTCAGCGTCTTTCACAGTCTCTCAGTTATTGCCTAGGTGTTTTTATGGATCTCTCACAGTCTCTNAGGATTTCTCAATGAGCGACTCGAGTCTCTCGTTCAGAGACGCTAAACATTTTTTTTAACAGTCTCTCTCATAGACACCAGAGAGACTCGATGAGAGATTGAGACTCGAGTCTCGCTTTCAGAGACATTGAGAGACTGAACATTTTTATCTGGGGTAAGTTATTTAAAATAAGTACTTGAACGAAGAAATGACAAAAAGTCGATTCTTCAATTCAGCAACGTTTCATAACTTTAGGTTACTTTATCTTAAATAACCAACCTTTTGTCATACAGTAAATACGATCTACAAATTTCAACTTACATGGTTATATAAAATGGAAATAATATCAAAACAATAAAGGATGTCCAACATATATACGTTAACCATCTGACCCTGCTATATACCTTCTGCTCTAATAAAGTAGTAGGCATTGAGCAATCAAACTAATGTAGGTACATAAAAATGTTTTGGATGCATCTATCTAATATAATAAACAACTAAAAATTAAATGTGTGTTATATACTTATGTTGGCTTTCATAGGTCCTTCCCCTTTGACGGGCATCAAAAGTAATTTTCCATCAACGGTGTAATATGCTTCGATCTGTAATTCTGGTAAGTAAACGTCCAATTGATACTTCTGATTTTCTACATCAACACTACAAATATTAGTAATAATCCTTATCGCCTTTATACTAGTTGTCCTAAAAACTTTTGGTGACAAAAATCCTTATTTATCGCGGTATTCCAGATTTTCTTTTACTAGTCCAGTCCGTAGAGAATTTTCCCGACATAAATTAAATTAAAGTTAAGCATCCCTGTATATGTTTTGTCAATTGGTTGCACAAATCCCAAAAAATCGTCAAAAATTGTCATTTCTTGTATACTGATTGTTTATTGCAAAAATGACCTAGAACCTGGCTTTTGCCAACTTTGGGCTTCCCCCATTTGTTAACGCACACTATTTCGAAGTTTAAAAATATACAGGGATGCTTAACCTTTCCCTGCCTACAACAAAGAATAACTCCCGTGCGGTAACAAATTTATGTCAAGAAAATTCTCTACCGACTGGACTATACGTGATTAATATTTGTTTCAAGTAAATATGCAGAACAAAGAAAATATTTTCATTTTCGTATGTATTTCATTGGTGTTTGGACAAAATTAAGAATCCAAGAAATGAATCGAAATTCTTATATATTTTATATATTACAAATTTGCTTATTAACGTTATTTCTTGTCCACTTTTTTTTAAATTACTTTCATACAGATAATGGATTGATGGGCGACGTCAAGAATATGCAATATAACTTCTTTTAATAACCCACTTATTTTTAATTAATTATTTATTACTAGTTGAACCCACATAAACGATATATATACATATAAATATGATGATACGCAATATTTATATTTCATTCATGACCATGCCGTATTTAGTCATTTAACTACAAATTCCACTTACGTCAAAATTAGCAATTTTTAATTAAAAAATACTGATAACATCCTGGATCTCAGAAGTAGGCCTAAGGAGTACCTCATCTTTTCATTAAACGTTCCAAAAGTCAGTCACTTCCAGAATATTATATTATGAAAAGAGATGGTAGCACCAATTATGTTTGCAATGCAGAAACATCTTTTTGGCCATTCGCTAATATATTTTAAATCAGTAAACTGGGGTGAAATTTTACAAAATCCGAGATCTATTAATGTTTTTTTTACAATATTTTTCACGGCTTACTTAGATACTGACAAACCTGCGCTACAACATCGTAATGGAGTAACTTAACATTTAATTTATACTGCGATTAAATATTTTTTAGTAGAACTTTGCTACTTTTTGTAAAATATTTGCTTTGAAACTTGTTCCCTTACAACTTCCGGACACTGTCAACAAATTATGATAATTAAAAGTATTTTATAATTACAAATAATTATTTATTGTGATTTAAATGTGTCCACTACTGATCTGGTTTTATAATATAGAAAACACCTTCTCATTCTACATATTGAGTTATTATAGTTTTTCTTTTAATTTTTGTATAAAAAAAACAGAAAAGGAAAATAGCTTTACACTTTCAAAGAGGTTTTCTCGATGTATTCCTACATTTATTCAATTTTTATATAAACTACAGTATGCAGTAAAAGGAAATGTTGAAATCACCATTTCCCGCAATTTTCTTCAAAGAATATTATAATCTACAGAAATTAATTACGACTGCAATTATCTATAAAGAATATTGAGAAATAATGTCGGTACAATTAACTATATTTACAGGTAAATATCGTCGCTAACCTTGCAAGACTGCAAGCGGAATTAACTATACATTTTTCCTTTTTTTATCATTTCCATTTAGTAACTTTAAAGTGTGTTAACATGTCTGCGCTTCTATGTCTTCAAGGGCACCAGATGTATTCACTACACTGCACTATAATAATCGTTTAAATGTTCTAAATTTTTATTTATTTACAGCCAAATATATCCATTTATGTAAAAGAAATGATCCCGAAGTTGGAAAGTGCGTTAGGGCATCCATAGAAGTCTTGCGTCCCCATTTGAAATCAGGAATACCTGAACTTGGTGTCCCAACGTTGGAACCTTTCCACATCCCAAAAATAGACATAATAAGAGGCCAGAACAGTAATAATTTCAGAGCAGGTCTTTCAAATATTGATGTGTTTGGTGCCTCTGACTTCCAAATAAAGAAACTCAAGTAAGTAATACATTTTTATACGTAATAATTTGTTTCTAAACCAAATAATTGACAACATAACCCAGGGTATGTCAGGTTATGGCGCGTAAAAGTTTGAGCCGCCCCCTGGGTTTTATGGTCGTATTTATTATACACGTGTATAATGTAAATTATTGTACATTTATCTTATTTATACTTGGATTATTGATATTCTAGGGTGGGCCAGGAGGGTTCTAGAATGGGCCTGGCCCATCTGCCACCTCCCTCCTTTACTATGCTAATTTTTTTTATAGTAAAACGTTTGTTACCCTACTCTGGAATTGATTTTGTTCTGCAATTAGAAAAAATGAAAACTGGCATCACTTTTTATGAAAAAATCGAATAGACTCGGAAATCGCACCTACATTTACACCTGCCTTATTTTTTTGGACAGCATACATTTTCTGCAATAAAAGAAAAACAAACCGTCAATAAGTCGTAATAATAAGACTGCACGTTAAGAATAGTTTTAACTTTACTATTTCCATTGTTGAATAATCTTTGATATCTAAAGCGAAACTTTTAAATTGCTGTACCTGACTAAATGTAATTCATAAT